TTAGATTTTTTGGTAACAGAATTAACTACAATGGTGAAATCATGTTTTAAATTTTCAATCCTTAGATATAAAAATTGAACATTTTATACATATTTAACTACAAAATAATTATTCAATTTTAAATTTGATAAATTTTGTCAAAATTCGATCTTTAAATGCTTATAAAAAAAATTGTGCCGCCTATGTATTTTTAATATTTTTCAACTGATATTGTAACAATATATCAGGAGCCTTATATTAAATTTTTACACTTTTTGACATAACAGATAAAACTTTATTGATATTTATAGAAAAAAAAAACTAAAAAAATTGAAAACTGAAAATGTCCATAAACAGCTCAAAAAGAGTCAAAATATTTTTGCTGTATACCTAACCTGCTGTACATTAGGTTACAACTTACAAGTGGGGGTCGCTGTAATGGATGGTATTAAATTTGAATTTATAATTATATATTTTTATATAATATCATTGTATAGGAAAAACAATTATTTTAAAAATTGTACATTGTATAGGAAATGCTAATATGAACATTCAGTGAGATTTTCATTTATCTACAGTTATTTGTTTTTGAATAACAACAGAATTAGGAAATCGCTACATGAGAAATCGAGTGAATATCCAATGTTGTAAAAATTTGAATTTCAAACGCTCATAAAAATTTAATTTAAGTTTCCGGTAGAGATTTTTTTATTGATAAAGGTAGACAAACTTATGAGTAATCTTGTATTACATTTTCAAATCTTAGATTTAAAAAGAAAAACTTTTACGAATTCTTAACTCAAAATACTAAGAAAAATATTCTGCTTTGGAATATAAAATTAAAAACCTATGTTGTTATTCAAAAAAGTAAAAAACTTAAAAAATTATAAGGATAAAAAATATTTAAAAATATAATTTTTTAATAAAAACGTTGTTTTATAAGCGACTTGAAACTATGTAAAAAAATATTTTCAAAAAAATTTACACTTTTTGAAATAATGAGTGTTGTTTGATAAAAGAATCACCCAGTATTTCGTGATTTTTCCATATTTTGTCAATTTTTGAACTTTAAATGCTTATAAAAGAAAATTGTGACTAACTATTTTTAATATTTTTCATCGGCCTTTAAACAATATACTAGGAGCCTTATAATACATTTTCAAGCTTTCTAAGCTAACAAATAAATTTTTATTGATATTTTTAGAATAAAAACTAAAAAAAAAATGGAAAATGAAAATGTCCCTAAACAGTTCAAAACAAATCATAATATTTTAAAAATTTTATCGTGTATAGAAAATGCAAATATAAGCAACCAGTGAAAATTTCATGTATTTACGTTCATTTGTTTTAGAGTTACACCAAAAACCAAAATCGATTTTTTGGAAAACAGATTTTGAGTAAAAATTTCCGTTATTCCTTAATTTTTATGTTGTTTTTCCCGGCGCTTGTGAAAACTACTGGGAATTTTAAATTTTGACCTCCCCAATGCACCAACGATATTCACTTTCCAATCGAACAAGATACTGAAGTTGAAAATCGAAGCATTATTTCGACTACTTATCGTGTACACAGACACAAAAATAAATCAAAAAAATTTAAAAAAAAAAACACACATTGTAAAATCAAAACATTCATCGTTCCACTCAGAATCTAAAATTTATTTATACTATATGTGTGTTTATTTAATTGTATATTTACTCAAGATCTGAAAAGAGGCCAATTTGATCAGAAAATATTAACTGTGGGTCAGCTGACCTCCTGAACCCTCCCCTAGATCCGCCCCTGCATTGAGCCTAACTGCCTAAGTACGATTTTCGTAAGTGTGTACCTGTTAAGAGTTGGCTATTAATTCAAAGGTGGGCAAGTTAATGAAAATAATTAACTCAAGTTAAATTAAGTTAAGAGGACACAAGATCGATTAGTTAAAAGTTAGCAGTTAACAAATTATAAATTTAACTCGATAAGTTAAAAGTTCATATAGAAAAAAATATTAACTTAAATCAGTTTAAAAAAAGTTAATCTATTTTAGATTCTGAGTGAAACGATGAATGTATTGATTTTACAATGATGTGTGTTTTTTTTTTATTTTTAATTTTTTTTGTGTCTGTCATCACGTTTTAGGACAGTTAAAGTGCTTGGATTTTCTTCAACAGTAGCTTTTCTGATAGGAAAGTGAATCTAGTTGGTACTATTTGGGTGGTCAAAAGTAAAAATTTCCCAGTAGTTTTCACAAGCGCCGGGAAAAACAACATAAAAATTAAGGAAAAACGGGAATTTTTACTCAAAATCGGTTTTCCAAAAAATCGATTTTGGTTTTTGGTGTAACTCTAAAATAAATAAACGTACATACATGAAATTTTCACTGGTTGTTTATATTTGCATTAGGTAGATATATTCAAGTGCCATATGTAGTTACCTACTTAAGGTGGTTTTGCGTAATAAATCGTAATTAGTTTAAGATTAACATTATTTTGCATTTTTATTCTATACATATGCTAAGAAAAGCATATTTAATAAAAAAAAGGCAGGTAAGTGGATGTCGCTCAGGTGTACAGTAGGTTACAAGTTGGTCATTGTTTAATGGATTGTATTAAACTTGAATTCAATGATATAATATCATTGTATAAGAAAAACGATTGAACGATTCTGAACGGAGACGGTTTGTCAGTCTGTATATTTTATATTGTCATTAATTATTATAACATGTAAGTTGTTTTAATACTATAAACATGATATTTATATAGATAATACCTAACTATTTTTAGCTAGTGGTTTTACAATGGTGTTTTTTTTTTTTTTTTTATATCCTGTATACAAAATTTCTACTAGAAGGAGTGCTTTGATTTCAACATATAGTACCTTATCTTTTAGCAAATTGGACCAAGATGGTACTTTAGAGAGGTCATTTTTCGATTTTCTCAATAGTTATTTAATGCCACGGGAAAAAGTACTGAAAAATTACGAAAAACAATTTAAAATCGGATTTTAATTTCTAACGCTTTGTTTATCACCATAGAAACGAATAAAAAATTATAATATTAATTCAACTTACATGATATAATAAATAATAACTATATAAAATATCCAGACTGACAAACCGTCTCAGCTCAGAATCGTTTTTCTTATACAATGATATTATATCATTGAATTCAAGTTTAATACAATCCATTATACAATGACCCACTTGTAACCTACTATACAGCAGAGCGACATCCACTTACCCGCTTTTTTTTATTCGTTGCTACGGTGATAAACAAATTGTTAGAAATTAAAATCCCATTTTAAGCGGTTTTTCGTAATTTTTCAGTACTTTTTCCCGTGGCATTAAATAACTATTGAGAAAATCGAAAAATGACCTCTCTAAAGTACCATCTTGGTCCAATTTGCTAAAAGATAAGGTACTATATGTTGAAATCAAAGCACTCCTTTTGGTAGAAATTTTGTATACAGGATATAAAAAAAAAAAATAAAAAAAAAATAATAAACACCATTGTAAAACCACTAGCTTCCTTGCTCCGCTCAGAATCTAAAATTTCATTTGTTCTATTACGTATCCGAAAGCATTTACTAACAGTACTACCTATTACTGAAGATGATGGATATCCTTTATACAGACGAAGGGATTTTGGAAGTGGTGGATTTAAATCAACTGTATTACGAAATTCAACATTGGTAGAAATTGATAACAGATTTATTGTTCCATACAATCCATTACCATTGAAAACATTCAATGCTCATAATATTAAAGTTGAATGGTGTCATTCAGTAAAATCAATTAAATACATTTGTAAATATATTAATAAAGGGTCTGATCAAGCCTTGCAGTTTGTTGCAGTTTTGATTTTAGAGCTATGGTAAAAAGGACCAAATCGACTTAAAAAAATTCGGTCTATCCGAATTTGGTATTCAAAACACCTGTTGCCATTTAAAAAAATGCAAGTTGTATTGCGCATGCGCACACGGAAAGATCTAAAAATGTAAAAATCATCAAGAAATGTGTATTATTTATGTATTCCCTATCCCCTCCCGAAAACCGCTTATTAATCCGATGTCACTGGACAGAATTATTTAGTGTTACCTTTAAAAGGAACCACACTGTATTAGTTATTGTTATTATGATTATTAACTATTTATTGATTTGTTTGCACTTGCATTTTTCCATTTGAAATATATATACCTATCATACATTGAACAAGTAATTTATTGTTACATTTTTTCTACCTTATCTCTATTCTATAATAAAAAGAATAAAATTTACCACTCCAGTGGTTGAATTCTAAATGTAGGAAATATAATTTTCAGAAATTAGCAATAACAATAACTACAATATGTAATTATATTGTATTATTTCATTTATTTGTATAGCCAAAAAATAGTCTTATGTTTTTAAATTAAATTATAAAAAAATAATTTCTTCCGGAGGAAGATCGGGCAGCTAGTTAATTATAATTGGGCCACAAGTTTTGGTAGCCCGAACTATATAAGTTAGGAATCGGTCTCATATACATTCTTCTTTTCTTAACTTTGAATAAAGAAATTGTAAAATATAAATAATAAAATAAATAATAGTGAAACCTAGCATTTTAAATGTTTTATTTATAACTAGATTAGTACTAAAAGGGAAAGATAAATAACAGGAAAAGAGAATTTCCAAATCACCAAAATTTCTAACAGAATCCACTAAATTAATGACAATATTATTTATTTTATAACTAAAAACAAAAAGATTTTTTTTGGTGACAGAGATAGCATTGCATTTCTTATTTACTGTTAATGCATTTTTGTGACACCACCATGTGCTAAACCAATCTAATTTTTCTTTGAGGTTAATAAATTGTATCCTAATTAGGAAAATAATGCATAAATAAAGGTAGGTACTAGGTAACCATATGCAATTTAGTATTTACTGAACATTTTGTATTAGTCAATTGTATAATTTTATAATACAATATACATTTGAATCAATAATAAATAAGAGTAATATTTTACGATATCAACACTACCTACTCTTTTTAACAGTTTTAAAAATTGTAATTCTTTCTGATTGTGACTGATTTTAATTCCAAGTATTCCTTTAGACCTTCTTCTCCTCTGTAAACAATAAAACATAACATTTAAGTAAAACATGTTTAAACTATATATGCTAACAGAAAATAATATATTGTTATAACACCAATACAGGCTATCATTCAGAATCTAAAATATTAACTATAGTATTATATAAAGGTCTTACAACTCTCTTCCTTGTCCGGACTGCTTAAACCCTCCAAATGGACATTGGACATTAACGGCATCATAACAATTAACCCTAATAGGTAATAACAAACAAAAATTATAAGTAAGTTAATTAATTATAAAGGTTATTTGATGAAATATATCTTTACTGTATACTTTTAATTTAGAACTAAATCTAGTATCACTACCACACATCTCAAAACCTTCAATATTTTTTTTTATGTTGATACATTTAAAAACTAAAAAAATATGATAATATGAATTAAAAACTTAACAACTTTAATTGATTTACCAAACTGAACCAGCATTAACATTATCTATATATTCCATTGCAATGTCCAAATTGTTAGTTAGTACTCCAGCAGCTAATCCATATTTAGTGTCGTTTGCACGTTTTATCACTTCATCTAAAGTTTTAAATTTAATAATCTGCTGAACTGGTCCAAAAATCTAAAAAAATTGTTAATGCAACACCCATCAATACATCACACATTATCTTTTAAATAATATTTACATTGTATATACTAATTAATAGTACATACTAATGGAATTTAATTTATGTTACAGTACTGAATAATAATAAAATAGTATTACATTATGTTAAATCATCCATTCTAAAAATTAATAAATGGAATTGTATATTTACTTCTTCTCTAGCAATTTTCATGTTATCAGTCACATTTGAGAATACAGTGGGATACACAAAATATCCTGTATCACCTACTTTAGACCCACCAGCCTCTACTTTAGCTCCTTCTATTTTACCAGATTCAATCATACTCAAGACTTTGTTGTATTGCTCTTCGCTTATCTGAAAACATAATTTACAATTATGTTATAAAATTATAGTTGGTGGGTAATAATTAGTGCCAGGATTTTTAATGCAAAAAATGTTGTAGAATATCTACACCTAGTTTATACATAATATGTATGTCTATACAAAATAAAAATTCTTGCAAAATGGAGTTAGGTTTTTAAAAATGTACTAATTGTAAAATATTTTAAATTATATTTATCAATTAATTATGAAATAATTAAAATGACAAACAATAAATATTTAATATAGTTAAACACACCAATTTTTATTCCATCATACTGATAGACCTAGGTGCAATAATAATTTTTGAAACTGATTTGAATTCATTATTATGTCTACTTGAAATCGGTCAGTCATCGTTTCCCAATACTCCCCCCCCCCTCAATAACTATAAATTTAGTTTAAATATTTTGAAATTTCGGAATTTTCAAACGTTGATTATTTTTTTTTAATTTTGGTTTAGTACCATAGATATGTATATAATATGTCTTATACCTAGACTGACATACCGTCTCCGCTCAGAATCGTTTTTTATTATACAATGATATTATATCGTTGAATTCAAATTTAATATCATCCATTATACAGTGACCCACTTGTAACCTACTGTACAGCAGAGCGACACCCACTTGCCCACCTTTTTAATTATATTATTTAATGATTTTAAAATATGTAACCTTTAAACAATTACCTTGAATTATGTAACTTATTAAAAATTTTTCTCAATTGTGAAAAATTATGTATAAAGATTAACAATAGAAACTACGCGTTAAGAAACATAAACATAATTAATTTTCTTATTTAAGTAGTATTAAATGTTGAAGAATATGCGTTTACATAAAAATCTGAACCCAAGTCATATAATATGGAATAATAATATAAAATTCAGAGTTCATATTATTAAACATAAATAAAATATGCTGTACAATAAAAGAACATTTTAAAATCTTACCAGAGGCCCTACTTGCGTATCAACATCAAATTGGTCTCCTACTTTTTTTTGAGATGCCAAGTAGGCAGCTTTTTCAACAAATTGTTCATAAATACCTTCTTGAACAAATGTTCTAGAACCAGCACAGCAATTCTGCCCCATGTTGGCAAACACAGCATCATGAGCAATTTTAGCAGCTTCATCAACTGTGTTTCAATAAAAAGCACAAATACAATATTAAAATAGTTAGAAAGTTAACATTTGTAAAAAAAAATCTTAAATGTTTACCATCAAAATCATCGAATATTACTAGAGGACTTTTTCCGCCTAACTCTAATGATACACGTTTTAAATTAGACTTGGCTGCTTCTTCCATGATTAATTTTCCAACCTTATTTTGGACATTAATTTATTGAATTGACAACACATAAAAAAATTAATCAAATTAATTTGTTTTTAGTATTTACTTCTGTCGATCCAGTAAATGCCACTTTATTTATGTTGTGATGGCTAGCTATAGCTTGACCCGCAGTCGGACCATACCCAGGTACAATGTTAATGACACCATCGGGAAATCCTGCCTACAAAGAAAGTGAATAAGTTTTATATACATAAATATAAATAAAATGTATTGTAATACTTTATTTGTAAATTATATTTTACTTCTTTTGATAGTGCAGCTACATGCAAGGCAGTGAGAGGAGTTTGTTCAGCGGGTTTTAGTACAATTGTACATCCAGTAGCAAGAGCTGGTCCCCATTTCCATGCCAGCATTAAAATTGGATAGTTCCAAGGAATGATTTGTCCAACAACTCCAACAGGTTGATGTTTAGTGAATGCAAAATATGGCCCATCTATAAAGATAATATGTATTCAAATAAGTTAATAAATAATAACTCTTCATACTAGTGAATGAAGTATACAAATTGGGAGATATCACAGAAGATTTTTATCCCAATACCAACAAAAGTAACTGCAAATAAATGCAATGACTTCTACACATTGAGCCTTATGGTGGTAAATTATAGTGAAAATAAAGTTTATGAGGATTGAAAATAAGATTGAAGACTAACTCAGTTATGGTCAGTATAGCTTTCAAAGGATTAGGGGGACAAGGAAAGCAATTCTAAGTCTGAGAATACTAATAGAAAAACAATTAAAAGTTAATAATGATACATTCATTGCGTTTGTGGATCAGACTTTACAGAAAATAGTAATTGACTTTAGGGATTGGTAACTGATACCTACATCATTTCTACATGACATAGGCAGCATAATTAAAAATAGATGACTAATCAGCGACATCAGAAACCCGGAAAGGCACTAGAACCAACTTCAAGGTTGAACACCAAAGAAGAACAAACAAGCAAAACTTAAATAAAGGAACACATTTATTTTCTTACTATCCACTTTACTCTAATTGTTGAAAAATAATGTAACAAATTTTAAAACTTTGGGAATTACTATGTTGCATGTCAAAATATTAGATACTTAAATAATTTAAATGTAGATTTTATGTTGCTAACATATTTGTGGTTCAAACTCTATCCATATTATTATTCAATTTGTTAGTACTTAGTACCTACTTACTGAATCACACAAAAATATTTTCCATATTTTTGGGTGCATAATCCTTGTAACTTGTAAGTGTACAAAACCTTAAAATTAATATAACTTTATCATATATAAAATTTTAATAAAAAAAAAAGTAGTTAGTTAAGTAGTAGTTTCTTTAGGGACTAAGCCTCCCCAATCATTTAATACATTTTATTTTTAGCATATTCAATATTATCAAAGTAAGGTTTTAGCCCTCCCCCCAAATCCCAAATGCCATTTAAGCCTATGATTTTTCCAATGCAATTTTAGCTTTATACACTTAATATGTAGGTACTTAATAGTTAGTAGAATTCAATATATTTATATTGTAAATATACCTACTCAATGTTAATAGTAAATTACACATCTACTCAAATAATCTGAAATGTTGTGAACATAAAGATCCATTTGTTTAATAAGTAGATAATCTAAGATATAGATTTCAACAATTTGTAAATAACAATTTTAAGCTAACTTTTTGAAGTATAAAAAAAATACTTGGAAAAGTATTTACAATAATAATTAATACCTGCTGGAATAGTTTTTCCATGAATTTTGTCAGCAAATCCAGCATAATATTGAAGAGTTGAAATAGCCATATCTATGTCCAGTAATGAATCGCTAAATGGTTTACCATTGTCCAAAGATTCTAAATTTGCTAAATGAATTTTGTGCTTATCCATCAATTCTGATAACTTGTACATCAATTTGCCTCGGGCAGATGCGTCCATTTTACGCCACTCAGAATCTGGTTTAAACGCAGTTTTTGCCGCATTAACAGCCAAATCAACATCATCCTACAAGAAAATAAATAAGTTATTTTTCAGTAATTTTATTTAAAATTAATTAAATACATTTATATTTACAAATTAGTTATTATGCATGTAATATAAAAGGCATTACACTTTTATTTGAGGGTTTTATATTAGCGTATTATATATCGTTATTTCATTTTTAAGTGTTATATTGTACTACATAAAATTATATACTCTTACTTTATCAGCTTCGGCGACATCGATAATTTTGTTTTTATTCGCAGGATTTATAGTAGGAAATGTTTTTCCACTAACTGAGTTTACAAAATTATTGTTGATAAATATCTAAAATAATAAACATTAAAAATATTGCTTTTATAAATATTGTTTGAACATTTGTACATAGACTGATGGTATAACCTTTATAAAATTATATTAGGTGTTAAATAAATGTATGTAATATGTATAGTATGCATATTATTATATAAATGTAGGTAAATATTAGTATTCCTACTATAATAATTTTACGTAGAATGTAGATAGCAGTCAACAGATGTTACTAAGATACTTTAGTTACCACAGGATTGAAAAAATGCAATTAACAAATTGTATAGATGGCCAGATGGGTTATAACTTATAGGTACTATTATATAAATTATATTTATATAATTATCAAACTGAATTTTTAGTTTTTAGTAAATATTTATTCGAATACCTATAGGTGGGTAATAATTTGTAATTTTATCAAAATTAATTAAAAAAACAATTGACTAGTTATTAATAAATGAACAGTAACTTTTCAAAATAAATACACCTAAGTAATAACTAATAATATTACAATATAACATGTACATTAGGTACCTAATATTATTTAAGTAGGTAGGTAGGTAGTAGGTAGGTAAGTACTCTGTACTTAAATGTCATATTATTGTAAAACTAAATATGTAACTCAAAATGTTTAAAATACATTAATGTGAGATTAAGGAGATTAAGCTAATTTGTAAATTGTAATATTATAAAATATAGGTACCTGATTATATAAAACTTCAACACTTGGATTTGCCATTTCTAGGTGTAGCCGTGTAAGTATGTAATAAATATAACTAGGTACTGAATAAACTGGAAATGTCAAAACAAAACTCTACACATAAGTCATATAATATTAGATAGGTATTCTTAAAATCAAATAATTATATTATAGTAAATTGTATTGTCGTTGTACAAAACAATACTAGGAAAATAAAAGTCATCTGTGTCAAGACTGCGACAACTATATAGTCTGACGTTTATGTTGACACTTATCTCGGGAAGCAATCAACAAGATTACTATAACAAAATAATAAAAGTAATAATAATTTACATTTATAACTACACCCAACAAAATATGAAATATGTACAACTATGTATAATTAATGGTATTAGGAGGTATATCAATTTATATCGATAAAATAAATACTCTACGAATTGGTATATTATACAATTTTTATAAAACCTACTCAATAGATACTGCAGTAAACAGATTTAGTGAAGTTAATAGGTAATAAGTAATAACTAATAAGTTAATACCACTTATACCTAATTAAAAATATTTATGTATGTACCTACCTAATTAAAATTTAAAATTATCAGTTATCAGTCAGGCTTATAGCCTAATAACAGCTTATCAACTAGGTCGGTCGACCTTCAATTCAAGCTGAAAAACAGAAGGAAGAGCGCCCCAAGCCAGAATGAATAACGATGGACGAAACGACACGAAGGTATGCACACCGGTCGGAACTTTTTTTTTTTTTTTAGGAAGGCTTTTAACTCGGTGGTATTAAACGGCGTTCGTACCGCTTAGAGTGACATAACTCCAAAGTGTTTTTATAGATCCTTAATTTGTATGTACAACTACAATAATACGTTCATATATAATTGCGAATGAGACGAGAACGAACATTATACGCGTTCATCCCAAACTCCCAACAAAAGTTCAAACGTCTAAATGTCTGATGAGTGATGATCAAAATTTCTATTATTACAGAGAATAAAAACATTGCTTAGAAATGCTATGACTATCGATAGATTTACAAAATATGTAGGTATTTGATAATAATATGATGTATGGTAGAC